ATCAGTCTGCTAGTTTCTGGGCAAATCCATACAAGATTCACCAGCCATTCAGGTGACTTGTTATAATCTGTCTTTGCATTTGTGGGGTGTCATAAAGGATGAGAAAGAAATGAGGCATCTGGTTTGCCTCCTGCTTGGTTAGGGAAAGATGTCTTGCAGGAGTGTGTGCAAATTCCCCATCCTCTGTTCCCTGGCTTCAACCAATACAAGAACTTTAAGAAATGACAAAATAGTAACCTAAGAAAAATACCTATAATGAGAGAACATTATTTTCAAGCTGACTGTTTTTATTTTCAGAGAATAAAGGTAGCTTATGTTGCTGTAGCTGTTCGTGACTTTCCAGAAACGTGGTGGCCAGAAAGCACATCAACTGAGTTTCTCTACCAAACTGCAGCACTTAGATTAAAGGGCCACTGGCAGATGTGGGACTTTGAGAGTCATCCTCAAAAACTTGGAAACACTGGCTACAGACATAGCTCCCAGGAAACTCTAAATTCCATGTTGGGCATGCACCCTTGCGTTGTTGTTGCTCCTGCTTCACATTCTTCTTGGGCTGAAATTCTAGTAAGCTTTCAAGAAGAGATTGCTGCATCTGAGCTGTCCTTTCCTGAAGCTAGTCATGCAGGTAGCGTGGGATCTGGTAGTCAGGCTTGTAACAAGAGATGATACCTTTACTTCAATAGCAAAGCAACCTGGTTTGGTAACCAGTCTGCAATCCCCTAAGGTAGCCAAATGGGGATTTTTCCAAAGAGCTTTCATACAGATTTGGAAAATTGTAAAAAAGAGAGAATACACTTTCTTCAATCATTTTTAGCAGCTGAAGCTGAAGAGAGGCTGTTTTGGGAGTTACTTAAAAAGGTACAAATAAGCTTTACTTTCAAAAATCAATATATCAGCTTCCTGCAATTTGTTAATGGCTTTGTCTTCTAAAGGTAAAAGCACACCTAGGTTTTTAAGCTCCACTATACAAGTAGATGATGGAGTACCCTGTGAACAACCTCTTCATGAGTGAGGACTTGCACCCTCTCGAACATTCTGTAGAAAAATATATTTAATTGTGTTAGCAATCTAAAGAGAAGGAGGTGGAGTTTGTGACCAGTGGGGGCTGATTCCCTAGATGTTACAGAAAAAAAATTATATACTGAGAACATGCTCAGAGAAGCTCAAACAGAAGAAACAAAATCTGTTTAGGCAACAAAATCTTGAATTGGAAAGAAAATAAAAGTCAAACCCCAGAATTCAAAGTCTGGAGGTCCTGGGAGCAAACCAAGAGTGACATGGTTACAGTGCTGGTGTGCCATGGTTAAAGGAGCATGGATATAGCACAGTGCTAATCAACCTTGTGGGCAGAAAAAACCCAAAACCCCACACACCCTCCAAAATCAATGAATAAAAAAAAAATTCAGCCTGCACTTCCCCAGGATTACTGGAATCAGTTTGTCCCCTCAGAAATACTCCTTCCTTTAAGGAGTATTTGATGAATGAAGTTAAGCTTGAGTGCTCCTGCAGCTCCTGTCAGGATCATGCTATGCACTGTGCAAACAGAGTAAGAGACAGTCTCTTCCCTCAGGGTTTTCCCTGCTCTTTGAAGGTAAAGTATGGTGATTTGGGTTAGCGAACAAATGAAGAGAAGAAATAGTTAGGGATGATGAGCACTGGATAGCTGTTCATGTGCCAGCAAGCTATATGGTAAAACTGATTAACGGCTACTGAGGCTTTACTTCTTTCATTTGTCTGTAAAATCAGAAGCGACCATGATGGACACCTGGTTTGTCTTCCTTCTATACAAATTCCATTTCTCCCTGCTCCTGCAGTGAAAGGAACTATAGTTTCTTGTGATATTAATTATTGTTGCAGTTGTTAACCCCAAGAATGGGATTACTTTATTTATCCCTTCCTCAGAGGCTTTCTAGGCAAATCTCTTTAGACTGTTCAAATTTAAGCACTTGACACCAGTAAAGAGAAGGTTTAAAAACTCCTCCCAGCTTATACCTAACACTGAAAATATTTATGTCTCTAAATTCTTGTAGCACTACTTGTATCTAGTGATCATGAGAAGTTCAGTGGTGTCAAGCACCTGCATCAGCCTGCAGCTCTGCACAGTCCAAAATTATGTTACCCCTCTGTGCCACGTGGGTTATGCAAAAAGACTTTTCAAGGAGTGTCCACTGGAAAGTGAAACCTCTGGCTTCATTTTTAATGAAGTACATCTCCATTGTTAAGAGTATACAAGAGATGGTCTAAGAGGCTGAAATCTCCTTCGAGGAAATTCAGGACAAGTGCTTCAGACATCCCCAGCTAAGCATGTGCTGAGATGGATAATGGGGAACTTTCATTTGTTTTTGTTGAAAAGTTTCAGTTTACATCCAGTATTTAAGGAGTCATTGAGTCAGAAGACAAAACCTGGGGAGAGAGCAACACTGCAGCCTAATGACCATGCACCCCAGGGAGTGCACAGGAATTTCTTGTTCCATTTTTTTTTTACTTTTTTTTTAAACTACCAGAGGATAGAGGTACATAGGAACCAAGAGGGATAAAAATCCCATTCTTCCCCATCTCACAGAGCTGTTAAGGTTATGTGCAATCTCTCTCACTTCTCCAGGTCATAAATCTGAAAGTGTGCCATTTAAAGTTGAAGACATCAATGCTGAGATTGCAGAAATGCTCTCATTTCTCAAATGGCTAACAATCTGGCACTAAGAGTCACTCCTGAGAAGTATCTGGGCCTGAATATAAATTTCTAGCCATGTCTTCTATCCTGCTGGAGCTCTCCAATTATTTAGTAGGTGTAAAAAGGACATATAGATGCATACTCTTCTGCTTTTAAAATAAAGACACACTTTCTTGCTTGGACTAGGCCATTGGCCTCTATTTGTAATATCAGGAAAGGGGTTTTTCTCCACCTTACCGAAATGTGTCTTAAATATATATTTTAAATAAATGTAAGGTTCTTGGACACCATGGCAATAAGCCTACATGAATGACTCACATGAAACAATACTATTAAGCACTGATGAAGAATAGCACCTCTTGGAAGGAGGAAGTTCTTTCCTGTAAGGGTGGGGAGGCACTGCAATGGGTTGCCCAGGGAGGTTGTGAATGCTCCATCCCCGGCAGTGTTCAAGGCCGGCCAGGTTGGACGAAGCCTTGGGTGACATGGTTTAGAGTGAGGTGTCGCTGCCCATGGCAGGGGTGTTGGAACTAGATGATCTTAAGGTCCTTTCCAACCCTAACTATTCTATGATTCTATGATCTCTATCAAATCAAAAGTGGAGATCAATCTATTATTATCCTGGCTAATCTTAGATTAGTACAATACAATAAGCATTGCACAACAAATACAGGATAAAACTTTCTTTAAAACAGTACAGAATGTGGGTATATGTGCTGCTGTCTAGCCCTGTTGTCGTTGTAAAGAAATCTGAAGACTATGACAGAATTCCTTCCCCTTTGCATTATTTTCCCCAGAGAGAGCAGGAGGCGAGTGAGTGGGTGCAGACAGCACAAGAGGAAATCAGCAGGATATTATCTGGGAGAGAGCTGAGGGCCTGGAATTAATTTCCCTCCTTGACCCGGGTGAGACTAAATCTGTAGATAAAGGTACACAAGTTTTCTACAGACATTAAAAAAAGAAAATAACTGGGGAAGAGGTTGGGCAGTAGTAACTGTAGAAGAGTAAAGATGAACTTATTTAGTCCTAATTTTATGGCTGTTGGTTTTATATTTATGCCTGGTGTTTATAGAATTTAAGGCCAGAGGAGGCCCTCAAATTAATCTTTTGGGCCTTTTGCCCTATGTGCAATACTGGATTTTTCCCAATAATTCCTGCTTTAAACCTGCAACTGCTTTGAAGAAAGGACACAGGCTGACTGCCCTGTAAGTGCACTGCTTTGCTGTTTCCAAAGCAGAGTCCTGGCACTTGATATCTTAGTCCAGGAGAATGGAGCGCCAAATCTCCTGCTGGTTTTGTTCTATACTACTGTATTTTATGCCATCAGTGACATTGCAGGTGAGAGTGAACATGACTTTCTTCTTTTCAATGGCACCTTTTTTCAGACTGATGGGGCCTGGAGAAGCACAGGCTGTTTTTTCCTCATCTGTCCTGCAGATGAGTGGGCAGCCTTTCAAAAAAACCAGGATCACACCATGCAAATAGGCTTCTCACAGCAGGATGGAAAACAGCATTTGAAAGTCAGTGTCTGTAGGCTGTTCTCACAGGTGCAGTAATATTTGCTCCAGCAATGTCAACCCTCACTGTGCAGAAGCCTGCTTTAGCCTGTGCTTCTGAATGGTTTTAAGCTATTACCACATGTCAAGCATATAACAGTTAACGAGTTGTTATAAGCACCACATGCTAAATCCATTCAGCTCTGACAGCTAGGGCAATAAAGGCTATACTTTGGAAGGGAGACTGATGCTGCCTTCTGGTCCTTGCAGCCCTTATTATCCAAAATATGCTTATGATAGAAGTATTACATATGCAATTACCAGAAAAAGCATGTCCACAAACTATTTTTTAAAAAACTTTACTTGATTTCTTTTTTATATTACAGGGTTGTGAACATAAGATGGTGCTTAGACTCTTCAGAAGGTAATTTATTATAGGAATTTGAATAGTCTCTTAAAGCTTTTGAAACAAATTTCTCCATGACTGCTATGGTTAGGATAATGTCCTGCAGAAATCAACACTCATGTTTTTCAGTGAGTGTTTATCCCCAAAGAACATAAGAATGATGAGGATAAATCCTTCAAAGCAAAAGGGAAATCTACATAATTTTCATGCATCACGGAGTTTTCAATAGAAAATATACTTGAAGAATTTAGGAATCTTGGTAGCAAGAACCCTTTGGAAGGCACCTATTTAACAGGCAGAATATGTACAATCATTTTTTTGTAGGCATATGGAAAACTTTCTTATATACTTTTTTTTTTTTTTATGTCATAAAACATTAAAATCTATAATATTTCATACGGTATGACTATTCCTTTCCAGAACATAAAGATTATGACTTTGGTTACCAGTGATATTTGAAATTTCAAGTATGTCTATTTACAGTGCAATTCCTTATTCTTTTGAAAAATCATATCAATCTCGGTTATTTTGGTAAAGCAACCTCTTTTCCTTCAACAAAGACAGCTTTTACTTAAATTAGTGAGATGCTGTTATTCTTCTGTAGGAGGAATGAGGTTTTCTGTGTACATTTGTTGAAGCTAAAGATGAAAATTTCAAATCAGAATTACTTTGATTAAACTTTGTTTTTATCTTAATTCTAGGTATACCACAAGGTTACCAACAGTGGAACATTCAGACATAAAAGTATTTGAAAAGAAATATGAAATCTTCTGTCTTGTCTTCAGTTTTCATACTCGGTGCTACAGATTCAGAAGTCGCTGATTTATTTTTTACCCCAATACACAATGCCCAGTAAAAATAGTGGTTCAGGCCAGTTCTGTCTACACATTTAATTATAAATTTGAATTTTGTATTCACCCAGATATCCCACATTTGATTTTTTGCAAGGTTAAAAATTGTCTAATCTCTTTGTAGCTGAATGAAGTTTGGCAGTTTCAAGACTTAAGGTCTTATGGAAAAAGAAGTATGACAAAATTAGATATGAGTGGAGGTTTGATCTCCAGGCTGAAGATACAAGGTCATTTCTAATATGCATACTGAGACCCAGATAGTCAGTATTTTAGGGATTGAAAGAGGTGACTTGAGCCACCATAAAGTTGAAATATGCTGTATTTGTTAGCCTTTGCTTATTTGGATCTGACTGAAAAATAAATCTAGTTACACAAAATATATTATTGCAGAAAAAAAATGGAGCATTTAAGATTTCTCAGAAGTTAATCCTAGATTTTATCTTTGAACATATGCTTCTCAATGTCCCGGTATTTCTGCCACTAACATATTCTTGCAAATAAGCAATACTGAACAAGAGCTTTCACCGTCAATAAAGAAAAACAAATACCTATTATTTTTCTATATCACTTGAAGGTACTTGCTTCAGTTGCTTCTTCAGTCATGTGTTTAGATCTCACCTGAAATTTTCCATCAGTTCGCCAGTTTCTTCTGTTAATTACTGAAATTGGATTTTAAATTTAAATTGCAGCTTAAATATATAATAATAGAATCATGGAATGGTTAGGGTTGGATGCACACTTATGTAGTAAAACAGCATTCAGATTCATGAAAGCCAGACTGATAATGTTTAGAAACTACACTTTCCAACCATGATCACTCCACAACTGAGGATACTGTAGTTTGCAGATGGTTCTCTTAATCCAGGATAAGTGGCATGTTGAGTTTCTTACGTTTCAGTTTATGTAAAGGGATCAGTCTCTGGCATCTGAAGGAAGGGGGAAGCCTGGATCCAAGTTGTTCTGTTTCTGGTTAGTTCTGCAAAATCAGCTTGTATTTTCCCATCAGAGAGGTGCAGCAACAGTACCACAGAGGTGACCTTTTCAAGTATTTTTCATTGCTCTCTCAGTGATGCTGATATTCCAGTTCTAACAGGAGCTGATAATTTGCAGCATTATGCAACACCTGGGTTTGAGGACTGGGAGGGGGTAAGGTGGAAGGAGAAGAAACTTGCAAAATATGCCCATGGCAAAATAAGCAAGATACACATTTTTACTCAATAAATAAGAGTAAAAAAAAAAATCAAATCTGTTTGGGTGATTTCTGGAGAAAAATGGGTGCCAAAGGACCTGAGCTGTGTATTTGACTCAGGAAAGGGTGGAAAGAGTGCAGAAGGGTGGCAGAGGATGGGGAAGAGCAAGCAGGACAGCATTATACTGTCACCATAGTTTCTTTGCCTTACAAGGGCTACAGACATGGTGAAGTATCTTTGTGCCTGAGCATGTGCTCTGCTATCTTTCTGAGGGTAAAACTACATTACCCCCCTTCCTTGTTTCATTAGGAACCCTGAATAACCCTTTGGTTACTCAGTCATCTCCTCATGCCACCCGCTCCTGCGAACAACTCAGGACTCACCACCAGATTCTTTGAGATGATTTTAGTATGATATCATCACAACTCTTGTGGTATCTGATGTTTTCCTTTTAGCCACAAATCCTGGGTCCCTGCCAATCTAAACTTTCAGCTAACGGGAAAATTTCCCTGTAGTTGCAGAAAAAAGCTTAAAAATGTAACCTCAGTAAACCTTGCAGGTTTCAAAACAAGCTGATAAAGACAATTCTGTTGCATGAATGGAAGAAAAAGAAAAGAATAAAAAATATTTTTAAACCAATCATTTCTGAGTGTTTGATTCATTATTTAGATTGGGTTTACTTGCCAGTTCATTTTCTTTTAGTTTTTTTGAAATCAAAGAGAATTTACATTTGAGAGTGCAACATGGTAATAGTACAATGTAATATATACCATATATTATATACAATATATATTTTTGTAAGACTACCATACATTTAAAAATAAAAACAATATAATACATTTAAAAATAAAAACCTCTCTCATGATGTTTCTAAATGGAGGACTGCAACTGTGCTGTTGCATAAGTAGCTTTGCTGTCAGAATTGCCCAGCAAAGCAGGTAACAAAGTCCTGTTGTGCAGAGGTTTCCAAAGACCTCATGAGTGACACGAGTGTTTTAAGAAAAACACTCTCACACTGTCCTGCTCACAAGAAGCTATCAATCAAGTGTGTTTGCAAGAAGAACTTCATGGTTTATGTGAAGCAGTAGAGAATGCTGTTCTTAGAGACTATGTCCGTAAGACTAATAGAAAATTCACCTCAGCAGGAGAAAAACTGCTTCGATTTACTCTAGGAGCAAGGAAAACACTTCTAGAACTCTGATTGCTGTTAGTGAGATGGCTTGAGCTTTTGTATGTTACAAAGTGCTCCCTTGGGAAGCCAGGTGAGATCATTCACACATAGAGACACAAAACTGCCTGGCTTTCCTGTCCTCCATGACCTGGAGCAATTAAATAACTGGCCTTCTGTTTTCTGTCTTCTGGAAAACATCTGTAACCTTGTCTCCCGGTACACATTTCTAACCTGTACTATATATTCACTAGTTATTGCAGCAATTGTCAACTTCCTCAAACATCGCATGGCTGTGAGGAATTCACCTGTTCTTATACGAGAGCCAGCTGTCACAGACAATATCCAAGCGAGTATTTATATGCCAGCTTCACAACATTCATTTTTCCTGCGTCCTTTCCCTTAAGAATTCAGGAGATGTGATACTTGGAAAGGCCTAAGCAGGCAATAAGGGGTCATTTCTTTTCCATGCTGGCTTTAAATATTGCGCTGACATTTCCCTAAATAAATAAATAAAATTGCATGTGTCAAAGTTAGTGTTCATTTCAATTGATATTAGTGTGTAATATGAGAGAAAAGTAATTTATATTTTAGTTCCAAAGATTATTTTGGACTGTAAAAAGAACAAGGCTCTGTATCTTTAAGATAAGTTCTTGATTGAGGAATTGTTCATTCTTTCTGTGGAAAAAGAACACTGATTATGAAATTAATGCCATCTTATGCAACCCTGTCAAGATCACTGACTTATGCCTTAATAAAGGTTTCTTTGTTTTTTTCTAAAAAGTGAGTTTCCTTATCCAGTGGTCAGAGCTGGAAATCTGTTCCTCACCAGAAATGTCAGTCCTCAAACCTAACATTTTCTCTGGAAGAAAGCTGGCTGGATACTGAGCCTCCTTAAACTTTGGATAAACGGACCTCAAGGTCAGAGCCTGTAGGGAGAAAGGTAGGACCCGGCAGGAACAGCCCCTCAGGGAGTTACTGTTTCCTTGGCATTTGTTGCAGTACAGCAGTACAGGCTCTGCTAAGCAGCTGGTGAGACTGGAACATGTCTCAGTGAGAGTTAAACTCGGGTGCAATTTCAAAACCTTGCCGTGATGACTTTGGGCAGAAGGAAATGATACCTTGAGGTGCCATAGCATGCCTGCTCACACACATTCTGGAAGTTGGTGTCTGATTCTGAGGCGACCTGAATATAACATTTCACACAGGAATGCGCTGCTCTTTTTATCTTTCTCCTTGCTGGCTGTGCTGTCTTCAGGCTAGCCTCAGTCTTTAGTGAAATACTGCAGCCTACCAGCTCTCAGCGTGTTTAAAAGAGAGGCTAGTTCTTCATTATTTGAATAGGTAATTGTGCTTTTCTGTAATCAAAGCTAATAGAAGCAGCACTCTGTTAGGAGAAAGAAAAATGGCCTTGTAAGATAGAGAGGCAATTACTGGCAGATTTTTAAGAGTTCAAGATTCCCTAAACATATGCATCCTCAACAATAATCCACCCTCCTCTTCCTTTGGTTGCCTTGGGTACTTTGAATTCCCTTCTAACTGAGAGGATCTGGAGGAGGACAGATCTGCAGCACCTTGTAGATGGATCATAAAAATTTTGCAGACTGCAAGTAGTGAATCTTCTCATTCTGCAATTGGTCACAGGAGACACTTCTTGCATTTTTGACAATCCACTACTTCATTTTCTGACAAATTATTGTCAGAGATGGTTGCTAACTTATTAGTAAATACTCTACATGTGTGTATGTGTGTGTTTGTGTCTCAAAGACGTATATTTGCTGTACATATGTACAGAAATTCCCATTTTGTCATAATCTCAGGGTATAATAGTATTTTGGCTCTGATATTACCCTCAAGCCTTAATTTGTCCATTTCAGAGGGGAATTTCAAGCCTTTGTGAGATGGATTCCTAGGAGGCTGGTCATCTGTAGGCCAAAAAATCTAATGTCAGAATAAATAAAGCTGTTCCCAAACCTCCACAATCACGGTTGCATGTGCCATTAGTGTTTCAGCCAAGGTGCAGATATTCTGGTTTACCATTTAGCTCTTTCCAAGGACATTCATTTTTAAAAGTAATTAGACATAAGCTTCAGGAAAACTCTTTTAACTTTACTTTTTGCTTAAGTGATAAAATACAGCAACCAACTTGAATGTTACTAGCCAACTCCTTGGCTAGCCTTAGCTTACTGACATTTAGCATATTGTCCTCTCTCATTAAGAACTTCTAGCATCACTCTTCAATTTGTAGCCATCAGGAAAACATTCAGTAAATTGAGCCATTCCTGTCCTTTTAACATCCCAATTTTTCTGTCGGTGTCTGCTCCTCACTTGTTTTTTCCTGTTATAAACAAGTTTTCCTATCTAGAAGCTATCTGTTGTGTACATTTTTATAGAGGAGAAAAGTTTTGCTGTAGCCATGCTTCTCTGGGTTTCAGTGCAGTGTGAAACATATTGAGGAACCATCAAGAGAGACAAGACCCATTCAAGCACTTAGAAAGAAGCCTAAGGGCTAACAAAAAGAGCTTCTAATGTCAGAGAAATCAGTCCTGGGCCTGTTCTTCAAGTCTTCACACTTTTTTATATGCCAGCCTATTACACTTACATGTTGGTAGCTGGATGATGGCCAAAAGCATGGGGGGCCATGAGAGCAGATAGACTGTCATATTGTGAGGTGATCGACTTATTTATGTTCTGCCAGTGACTCACTAGTTTCAGAAGATAGTTTCTCTCTTAGATAACGAATAGGTCAGATATGAATCAGGAAAATGCATTAAAGGCATCATCTTTTAGCAAAAAGCTTTATATTTCATTTGCAATCTGTATTAGAAATGTTTACTTTGGAAAGATGAGGGATAGTGATGCTTGAGCAGACTCCTGGTGCCTGTTGACTTGCCTTCAGCTGACTGAAGCTCAGTGTTATGAATATATATCCATGTGTATAAATAGACATGTATATAGATGATCTAATCTATTACATAAATGTAGTCTAATAGAACTATTCCTGTTTTTAAAAGGGACTAAAAATTACTTACCTTAAATTCTGTCTCTCCCTTTATTTTCCTCTGTTTGACTTTCCTTTTATCTGTGCTACAGGACTCGGAAGTACAACAGATCCTGGCTGCACCAGTTCCTTAGGAACTTATGGTCATAACCTGTAAAACCGTTATCATGTCTACAAGAAGAATGATCTAACAGGAGAGGCTCTGTAGACCGAAAAAGATTGTGTAAGGACCTTTGTCTGCACTATAATCACTTTCCTCTAGACAAATTTAGTTTGACCCCATGAGCTGATTGCTAATTAGCAGCTAAAATTTATTGTGATCCCAAAGTGCTTCTTCCAGTTCAGTTTTACCTAAAGGGGACAGAGTTCATGTCTCCCGAGACCTCTGTGATATGCAAACCAAGGTGCAGTGAGTAAGAACAATTGCAAAATTCCCTTGGAAATCATTTTCCTGAGCCAAACTAAGACTATCATGTGAATGTACTCTTAAACACCTGATCTTAATACAAGTGTTTGGCCTCTACAATGATATATACAACTCTGCTTTGGGTGTCTAGGGGTATCAAGAGATCATCTGCTCTGCTTTCTTCCCTTAATGTAGGATTAACCATATTTTTCTTCTGGCATTTTTCAGCTTGCTTGTAAAGACCTTCAAAAATGGGGACTCTATCACCTCCCATGTAATATATTCTAGTTTGTTCACTCTTGGATATTGCTTCACTTTACAAACCCTTCTAATAAAGATTAATCTGCATCTTCCTTCACGTTGTTAAGTAAGTTCACTGTTTCTCATCCCATCCACCACAGACACAAGCAGATTGTTTTGTTCATTTTAGTAATAACCGTTAGCATCCTTGAAGACACATTGCCTGAAGAGACTTTTATTTGTATATATATGCATACATATACAGGTGTGTATAAATTATATATAAAGATCAAACAATGAACATAAAATTTGTGAACACTCACATCCATCCAGTAAACAGGCAAATATGTGGAATACGGGAATTATTTCATTGCTTGATAATTATGTCTCCTACATTTCAGCTATCTATCAATCATCAGCAAGGGTCTTTGATTCCTTGCTGTGTTCCTAAGAAACTGTTCTTAATTTTGGATACCATTTTTTAATAAGTTTTCTGTTGAGAGACATATTTTTTTGAAAAAATTCCAAAACCAACCAACCCCCCCCCCCAAAAAAAAAACAAAACTAAAAGCCAAAAAAAAAGAAAACTAAAACACACTCAATTTTTGTATTTTTGGCAGGTTTAGGTTTTTTGTTTGTGAGTGGGTTTTTTTTGTTGGTTGGTTGGTTGGTTTGTTTTTTAATCTGATCTAGCCTTATTAGATATGATAAACAGAATGGCTTCTCAGGAGGAAGAGTGGCAACCTAACTAACTTTGTTTTCAAGTTTCTCCATGGCAGTGCTGGGTAATACTGGGTTTCTAAATATCCTGATCTTTCTAGTGTATTACTCAGAAAATTGCACCACCTGCAGCAGCATAGATTGGTGTAGACCGACACTGTGCTGGTTTATATGAAAGTAAATCTTGGCATCATTTGTGTGTTTCAGTGGTTGACACAAAACTTGAAGCTGCTGGTGGGATCCATGGGAACAAATGAGCAGAGAACTTGGTGTTTGGACTCTAGCTCTTCGGTTCCTTTACTTCTTACGCATGAAACAAAAAGAGGTTTGATGCTGTTTTTAATACTTTAGGCTGTGGGTTATTAAAATTATTTTTTAATTTACTAAAAGATGATTCAATAGGTCAGTTTATTATTGACCAGATTTAGTATTCTATATTGTTCCTCTAATGGCTCTTAATGCAATTAATAAATTTGTTCTGCTCTCTGCCAGGAAATGAAGACAAGGGGTGAAAAATATTCTACTTGAAATTTGACTAATTAAAGGGAAATAATTTAGTGAGGGTTTTTTTTCTCATAGTTTATTATCGGGCAAGGAGGGGAAGGCAATCCAAATAATGTCTAGCATATAAGGCTTTACTGAAGGGTTTAGTTTCATTTATAATCCCTGTATTTTTTCTATGCTATTATATGTAACCAGTCCAACTATAGCAATTTCCCAACTGACTTCATTTTTATTTAACTGAATTGCAGACAATGCCATCTCAGAACGAATATGAATTTTGTTTAATACCATGACTTACAGAGTTAAGCCGCTTCACCGATGGCTAAATAACTGGCTAAACCTGCATTATAATTCTGTGCCAAGTGATAACATTAATAAGAGGAAACACAGTAAGTCTGCAGCTGATAATAATTACAGCGGCTAGGAGACCAAGTGTTTCCTTATAGCATTGCTGTTACAAATCTAATACTCTTTCAACCTCCCACATGGAAGTAAACATAATGGCATGAGAGACTGTTGTTTTGTGTTGCTCTGTTATACTGTGAGATTTCAATTTCTGGTATGAAGAAACCAATTAAGGTAGAAAGGCAAATTCAAGTTCAGAAATAAAAAAAAATTATTCGATTATATAATAAAAGTATATACTTCACCTCCTCTGGCAAGGTATTACTGTCAGAAACAAAACTGTCTGGGTGTTTTACAGAGTGATTATTAGAATAAACATAGTTATAAACATGAAAGTAACTAGTTCAGGATTGACTAATAGTGATTATTTTACTTTAGTGTTGTTGTATACATTTTAATTCATTATAACTTCAGCTGCTGCGTCTTACCAGTTTCATTAGAACTGCTGGACTCAATTCTGCTATGAATGGACTCCTGAATTATGATACCTTTAGAAATCTTTCATAATTTAAATCACTTTGCCTTCACTAGCATCCCTTCAACAATCTGCATGCTGAAATGTTGCATATACCTATGGATGTAGCAATCTTCATTTAACAATAGTTTTTTGGTTTGGTTTTGGTCATGTGAAAAATAAGAGAATTTGACTGACTTCTGAAGCATAGTCTCCTTTCTGTATCAAAATCTCAAATGATATGTCCCTTTATTTCTCCATTGGATATAAAAAATAATCTGGGTATCCCTGGTATAGAACCATAAATTTTCATATACTAAAAGGTCATATACTACACCTTTACCAATTTTTAAGCTCCACATGAAGTCACATGTTGCTATTTCTAGTAATTTGTTTTCCAGCCAAGTTCAAAAATATGAAACTGAACCAAAAAAATCCAAACCCTTTTTGGCTGGACAGGTGCTGCTTCTGAGAACACAGGGAAACTAATTGCTATCCTATGTTTGAATCATCTTTTATATCAGACATTAAAATGAGTTTGATAAAATCATCAGAAAGCCTGAAATATTCATAGCAGGTTCAGTTTTGTTGTGCCCTCCTTTGAAAATCCACTGTTCCTTAGCATCCCTGCTTTAGTGGAGACAGCTCCAAAGTGTGATTCCTCATGCACTGTCTGTCTAGAGGACCTTACCCATAGAATTATAAAGGTAATTCAAGGAAAGCTAGTAATGCAAACTGTCTTTTATTGGCAAAAGAACAATATGTATCCAATTTCCTTTTTCTAGCATGGATTATCTGCCATTTTTTTAAACCTTCAACCAGTAGATACCTCCAAAGGAGGCGATGATGGAGGCAAGATGACATGCAAGTTTCATGAGCGGACACTCCTTAATTCAGAGAAGAAAAAAACTAACCTACCAGACCAGCTTCTGTCCTTTGACTAAAAGCAAGTCCATGAGCTCAGCCTAAATAGTGAGGAGCAGAAAGATTTTTCCCATCCCAATTACTGCTTCTTGGTTTAGTCAACAGCACTTTACGGTACTAGTGTCTCATCCACCTGTTCTTTCTGACTTTGGGAGATGGAATAATTTATATGCATGGAGGAAGTTTTGACTGCATGCTAATTGTGGCCTGACAGACTTTGGTCATTTCTGTTGAGCAGCCCAAGGTGTTTTAAATGTCAAAAAGTTCCATATAATTTTCAGTATTAAATGCTGAATTTTAAAAATGTAACAGAAGATATGATTAAATATGGTACGTAGAAGCAAGTGAGATTGGAATGGAAACATGAGGAAAATAACATCAGGGAGTCATCAAAGTTAGAGATGGGGAAAAATGCATTAGGTCTTTTTCTCAGCAGGGTGCAGCACGAGACCCTGTCACAAAGCCTAACCAGTGCAGGGCGAGACTGCACACAGACTTTAACAGATTCACATCAGGTTCTTGTGTGGATTGGTCTACCTTTTAAAGAGCAGAAACAGCAATGTGCATAGGAGTAGATCTTCAGCATGTTTCCCAATACAGATATCAGTGTCAGCCCAAAAATACTTGCTTAATCAATGATTCAGTTTGCGTACCATATCTGCTTGACTCACTGCTGAAGGTCATCTGCTAGTGCAATGCAGGAGCAAAAAGGGAGAGGACTTTTTATTTGGAAGTAGAAGAAAAATCACTTGGGGCTGAGGTGGTAACTATCACTTTTGGTGGGTCTGACCTGACTCACTCTAGTTTTGAGACACTACTTAAGACATATTTTATTGGTCTAGCAAAGAATATTCTGCTTTTAAAATGTGACTTTGCTGGCTACATGAACAAGTGAATGCTTTACTAGTGAGGATATGGATTTCTAGGGTTTATAAGAAGTATTAGCTGCTAAGTGAAAACAGCTTTGAGTAAATTCAAGGCAATTTGAAGGAATTTATTAACCTTTCCAGATATGTTCCTACAAAATGGAAGTGGGGTTTGCTACTACACATTTACCACAGGTATGTGTAGGCTTACATGAACAGGATGGATAAACATCCAAATACTGTACCTTAGTTTGTTTCACATGTGTATAGTGCAGCCTAAGTCTGATTGAAAGACCAGGGACATAAATTTCAAGATTACTTTTGAAAATTTGATTAGTCTCCATATCACATTAGGAAGTTCTGTCTCCCCCCCTACTTTCTGAAACTGAAAATAATTAACAGCAGAAAGATACCAAGAGGTGGGGCTACCTATCACCTAAGCCCAGACTGATACAGCTCAGAAATGCAAACACCTATTCTATCATGGAATTATTTCCTGAAATCCTGTGGCTGAGGTCATGCAGGAAACACAACATTTCTGAACAATACAGTGCTCTGGTATTATTTATCTAATAACTTTATCTGGGAATTTATCTATTTCTTTCTCAATAACATTTGTACCTAGAAGTATGTAACTTGGTGTTTGTGCAAGGTGGCTACACCCAGGTAAGAAAGAAACAAAAAAAGAGCTAGATGAAATGAAGATGCAGCATATTTTCTCATTACCTGTATTTTGCAAGAAAATAAATCTACCCTTTGAAGCGTTTTCCTGGATTGTGCTACTGACCTCTAAGAGACAAAACAACATCCTTTTCCCTTTTGTCATGACTGTTCAGTCTTCTACCCAAACAGAGGTAGTGTTGCCACTCTGATAATATACATGCTAGGCCACGTCCGGGCAGCTGTCACCAGTCTGAAAACTAACACAGACCTAATTAACACCGTAATGGGTTTTCCACTCTTTTACTCTCTGAGTGACAGTTTAATAAGGAGCTCACAGCGACCGTATAAATCAGAACCAGCCCTCATCTTAACAAGATACAGCTAAAGTGTTCCAAAAATTAATTCTAAGGATTTCAGTATGTAATATTTCCAGTGGATAAACATTATCATTTGTTTACGCTAACTTATTTTATTATCTATATTTGACTATCATGCCGTGGTTGTGTGCTGGTTTAAGAAAGATGCATGTATTTACGAAAAGAATGTTAAGTGGAAAGAGTTATAACTCTACAGTTTATAAAATTGTCTAATAACAGGAAAATATTCCACAAAAAGAGTTTTGCACTGCAGACAGCTATAGAATCGAAAGCCTTTAGACCATCAGTAATCCTCAATTTGGCCTCAATTTAGTACTTAATATGTAAATTTAATATCTGTAAAACATCTCCATTGGAATTAATTGGATCCCTGTGCTTCAAATGAAATAACTTGAAAGTAAGCCACTGAGCACATGCTTGTTGACTTTTAATAAGGTCCATTTATGCTTCTGGGCAAATTAGGAACTGATCCAATAAAGCAATTGTGAGCATACTTTGAAGTAGAGCAGGTGTTTAAAAACCTCATTGAATCTGGATTTTAAGGACACACAGGATTAAAAATTATAGTTTGCTTTTAATGCAGATTGAAATGATAATTCCTCAGTACTTTAATTCCAGGATAGAAAAACACCACACTTTTCTCAGGCCTTTGAATCCTTGTTATGTTTTCTTTTTGTTTGTCTTTAATGGATATGATGCTGAAATATGGTTTGATATGAAACATGAGCCAGAGTAAATCAGTCTGTCTAGTTCCCATTCCAAGACCTCTAAAGTAATTGAAAAATGTGACCAAAAGGATGTATGGTAAGGTAGGAGAAAACTTAAATACTTTTTAAAATTAAGATCTGAAAAGGATTTATTAAGATTAATAAACTCCTGTTTTTTATGAAGATGTCTCTGCTTATATATGGCTAAGATAGTTTTCTCTTTATTTCCATAACAGGGAATAACAGGGAATACTTGAAGTATTTTTGAGGTTGCTGCCGTCCCTAAATTGTTTTCATGGATTTGCCCTTTGTGCACAGAAGTATTTAAATCTACAGATTATAGGCAGTTTAGCTGTCACTTGTGGTTCTAGAAATCAAAGAAACACCTTTTATCTGTTGCTATTTAGCCTCCTTAAGATACAAAATCACCCTCTGAGTTCAATACTCAGGTAGTGCAGGCATGCACACTTATGCATACCCACAGAAGTTCATTGTGCTGAATAAGTAGAGACAAAATGGCAATACAGGGAAAGCAAAGGAATTGAGTAGAATTAAATTTATTGTGAAAGCATATGAGAATTACATGGGGGATTATTATAATTATTATTATAATTATCTTTATAGATGAATGCAGAGTGTCTCAGAAGATTGAATCCTCAGCTATAGCTGATACTCATAACTGGCACTAAAATACAAATAAAGAGAAACTGAAATATAAGAGATTAAAGTGGCAAAGTCTCACAAAATACAGAATTAGCCAGTTAATATTCTTGATCACAAATATTTGTTGCAATTGTAAGCCAGAGTACGCAATGTCATTCTGACCCTTTAAAACCCTTAAATGAGCAATCATCAGTAGAAATATTTAATAACAGAAACAACTCATGAAAAATGGACATAGACACTGAGTGCCCTGCAAATTCTTCCAATTAGTAACAAAACTGTGGGGCATTTATAAGGGAGAAACTCTACATATTATTTCAACCAAGAGCAAAGAGCTCTGAGGCCATCAACTTGAAAGATATCTTGGGTACGAGTGAACATGAAATTGTAATTTCATGACCTTTCAAACAGAGTGCACAAATACGGGCAGAAGTGAAAACCATGGTTTTCAGAAAGTCAGACTTCAATGAAATCAGAGAATTGGAAGGAAAGTTCGTTTCAAATGGCTTCTCTGAGGAGAAGGTGAAAAGAGGACTGAGAAACTGTAATTATGATGAAATATCTAGTTGACATTTTAAGCACAGAAAAGAACTGCATAGAAAATGGACATCAGGTCAAATTACTGAGGATGGGTGCAAACACACAGCACTGCAATTAAAGTTTGGGTTAGAAAAACAGAGTGACAAAAGGAAACTGCTAGAGGAAATGAGCTGCAATAGTAAGGCACTTATTAGTAAGTATTCCAGAGGTAAGGTGAAAACAAGAGAGGAGGTTAGTTTACCCCTGCAGAGATTGAAAATGATTGACATATGATGCTGAAAATTCGTAATCATTTAATGACTTTCTTCGCTCTCTCTAAAAAGCTCTTTGCTATCAGATATTATAATAACTAAGATCAGGCATGAAGGATCAAGAATTCAGCCTGGTATAGCAAGAAACAAATTGATACTTGAGTTAATCAGATGTTTTCAAACTGCCTTCATCTGATGACATTTTTTTTTTTTATAGAGCATTGAAAGTATTAATTGAAAGAAGCTCAATGTTAGGCTTTCTCTGAGAAGTTGTGACAGATGGATATGAAAAAAAAAAAAAAGCAAAAGGCAGAAGTGGTGCATTGCTTTATAAAGGAGATGCCAGAAAATTGCAGAAATCCTAACTTCTGCTTCTGAAAAACACATGGAGCCAATATCTGTGAACACACTGAGAAAAGCAAAGGGATGAATGATTGCCAACATTTGTGTTAGGAGTTAATCATGCCAGACCAGCTTAATTTCCTCCTACCCGAGGTAAAGGCCTTATGGATGGAGGAGAAATAGCAGATGTCATGTCACAGTTGCAGTACTGTTTTCAACGAGGGCTCTTGTATCTTTTCTAGAAGGAAACTGGAAAAACACGGTTTAGGTGAAAATGCCACAGGTAAATGGGAAGTTGAGCTGTTTCCACTATCCAAAGAGTGCTCATTAAGTATGAGTCTTGGTTTAAGCCCAGTGGGCCACACAGCCCCCCTGCCCTTTCTCCCCCCCCTTCACTCCCGGAGGGATGGGGAGGAGAATTGAAAGAATGTAACTCCCATGGGTTGAGATAAGAACAGTCCAGTAACTAAGGTATAACACAAATCACTGCTGCTGCCACCAGTAATAGTAATGATAAGGGAAATAACAAGGGAAGAGAATACAACCACTCACCACCCGCAGACCAATACCCAGCCCAACCTGAGCAGTGATCTCCCCTTCCGAGCAACTGCCCCCAGTTTTACATCCTGCGCATGACGTGCTGTGGTATGGAATATCTCTTGGCTAGTTTGGGTCAGGTGTCCTGTCTCTGCTTCCTCCCGGCTTCCCCTCCTCCCTGGCAGAGTATGAGACTCAGAAAGTCCTTGGTCAGAGTAAACATCACTGAGTAGCAACTAAAAACATTGGTGTTATCAGCGCTGTTCCCAGGCTGAAAGTCAAAACCACAGCACTGCACCAGCTACTAAGAAGGAGAAAAGTGACTGCTACTGCTGGACACAGGACAGTATGAAGGGTAACCAAAGTGAGAAGATTGTAATTATTCTCATGATATTCAAAGAAAAAAAAATCATGCTATTTCTCTAGGGCAAGTTATTGTACATAGACAGGAATAAGCAAGCTAAGTCATTGGCTGAAAAAGACCTGAATCACAAAGAGAACAAGGATGAATGTACTTATGATGTTGGAAAAAAAAAAACCCAAAAAAAAAATCCATGCAGAAAAATTATGACTACAGCATTTGAAGCAGATTTTCTCTAGTGTCTGCATTACTGTGATAAGATCTTAGCGGTAATATTACAGCCATCCTTGCATACCACAGCAAAAAAAGTCTTTAATCAAATGGATAATGTTTGGGATAAGTACAGATGCTGAAAACCTGACCTGCGGATAAGTATCAAAAATACTGGATTTGTTTAACCTGAAGAAGATGAAAATGAAGTGAGGTGTACATTTACTTCAAGCAGGTAAAAGAAAAAAAGACTCAAAGTAAGAATATGACATTCTGGTTTTTGTTTTTGTTTTGTTTTTTTTTGTCTATGAAAGACTATATTAAAATATTTGGCTTAATTTGCAGATGCTTTTCATGCTTTATAAATGATAATGAATGCAGGAATACTCTGACTAAAGTGGTTATTGCAGTATCTGTCACTGGAGGTCAGATGAACTTCTCCATCAGTGGATAAACTAGGTGTGGGAGTCTTCTTGCCTGGCTTTAGATGTACGTCTGAGCTATTTACCTCCTACACTGTACATTCAACAAAATTAAACGGACAAACTAAATGACCAGTTAATCTGGTCTGTGGTAGACATTTACTGTGGGATGAGATTAATTTATCTCTGGGACTGTTCTAACACTTAGGAGGTTATAGACAGGGAGACAGACGCAGACATCTGTACTCCAAATACCTAAAGTGGGGAATTCACCTCCTCAAGGCACTACCAGGCTTGTCAGGTTGAATGGCTCTGATACACCCACCAAGCAAGTCCACACAAGTACTAGTGATCTTAATGAAGTATTAATATTATAGGTCTGGTACCAGGCATACTGTGGTTCTATTTCATAGTTTAATGTAAAATCCCAGCATGGATCATCACTGCAGCAGCAAGGGGAGAACACAGTGCCTTTGCTCAGCTTTTGCTCCAATGTTCAGTCCAAGTTTTGAACTTGGTGTAGTGATTACACATATATTACTGAGCCCACAATAAATCAAAATCCTACACATAAAAGGAGATTCAGAAATGCAATGAACATCTAAAATTTAGTTTTTTGTCTATCTGACTGTCTTTTTGGTTCACTTAGGGCTTAATAGGGATTCCTTTTATATCAAAGAAGATTCAGATAAAAACGTCACATTTGTGTCTTTTACAATTTTCTACAAACAATAAAATTAGACTGACTTTCAGTTTTATGGCTGTAGTTCAGTAATTCTGAAATTTGTCAATGTTCTTGCATTTTGTCTTTTTAGATTACTATAGTTCGATTGGACATATATGTATTGGATTGGACTGCTGAGGTGAGTAGCTGAATTGCTGAGGTGAGTAGCTCGAGAGAGGACGCCTTCAACACCGGAGCGGGGGGGAGATGACGCCTGTCAACTCGGAGCGACAAGAGCCACCGAGGGAGCCTCAAGTCCTCGACGGGACCTGCCCAGGAGCCGGCAGGTCAGCTGACGAGAGCGAGCAGCTGACTCACAGGGGGCGGAGCCAGGAGGGGCGGCACCAGCCCTGGCTGGGTAAAAACCTGCCCAGGGCACGCTAGCGACCAGGGGCGTGGTAAGGCAGTTTGCGCGGGATGGTGAGCACCCATCGTATGAACAGGGCCCGGTCTGGGAGCTTTGCTCTGGCTGCCCCTGCGGTGGCCAGCGTAGGCACCCAGACAGAGCCGATGAGAGGGGAGGCTGCAGTGCAGAGCTCGGGGTGTAGAGAGGAGAGTGCCTGCACTGGTCTGGTGATGGGAGGGTGCGCCCTGGTGGAGGTGCTCCTGCAGCAGGGGCTGTGCTGCGGGATGCTGTTAATAGACTGCAAGGTGTCAGGGAAGCTGAGGGGAAGCAGGAATGCTTGCTCCAGGCCCAAACTGTGCAGGGGCTTCAAGCATCCCCTGTAGTTCTTGGAGGAAAGAAAGAGGCCACTAACCCTGGAAGCTGGGAAACAGCACCAAAAAAAAAACCAAAAACCAACAGAAAAAGGAGGAAGAGGACAATTAAAAGCAAGGGGCTTCCTCCTAAATCTGTTGTCCCCACCCAGAACCGCTTTGCTGTCCTGCAGGGGGCTAATGAGGAAGCGCACTCACACCAGAAACAAACGGCTGGTGCCCTGGTAAAGAAGATCTCTACTGGTGCTGCCAGAAAAAAGTGGCAGGTCATAATAGTAGGGGACTTTACTTTTGAAAGGCAGAGAGGCACCCATCTGTTGTCCTGACCCAGTCTCAAGGGAGATGTGTTGCCTACCAGGGGCACAGATCAGGGATGTGGCAGAGAGGCTGCCTGCTCTAGTAAGTCCCACAGACTATTTCCCACTTCTACTGATCCATGTGGGTGCTAGGGATATAGACAGCAGTAGCCTGGGGAACATAAAGAAGGACTACAGAGCCCTGGGAGAGGTGGTTAGGGGCTCTGGAGCTCAGGTGGTCTTTTCATCAATTCTCCAGGATGCAGGGGAGGACCCCAAAAAGGCTAGGAGGATTGGCCAGATTAATAAATGGTTAGAAGGGTGGTGTCAGTCAGGGGTTTGGGTATCTTGAACAAGGGACTCAAGTTTTTAGGCCAGGTCTAATGGGGACTGGTGGAACTGGTCTGATAGGGGGAAAAGCAGTTATGGTAGGAGGCTTGCCAGACTGGTCAAGGAGGCTTTAAACTAGATGTGTTGGGGGAGGGGGGCACCATTCCATCCCAACACACCCAGGCAGTTGCCAGCACCTATAATAAATGCTTGGAGCAATGTAGAGATATCCCAGCCGCTCCAACCAATGAGCAGGCTTCATTTGGAGCTTGGCTGAGATGCCTCTATACAAACACCCGTAGCATGGGGAACAAACAAGAGGAATTAGAGATGTGTGCACATCTATGGGGGTATGATATAATAGGCATCACAGAAACATGGTGGGATGGCTCCTATGACTGGAGTGTTGGAATGGAAGGTTACAGGTTCTTTAGAAAAGACAGGCCTGGCAGGCAGGGAGGGGGAGTTGCCCTTTATGTTAGGGATAGGCTGGAGAGTATGGAACTCTGCCTGGGGACCCATGAGCAGTTAACAGAGAGTTTGTGGGTCAGGGTTAAAGGGAATATAGCTATGGGAGACATTACTGTGGGGATCTGTTACAGATGGCCTGATCAAGAGGAATCTGCAGATGAAGAACTGTCGTGGTTTAAACCCAGTCAGGTAACTTACTCACTCCCCCTCTTCTTTCCCTCCCCCTACTCCCAGAGGGACGGAGAGGAGAATCAAAAAGAATGCAACTCCCACAGGTTGAGATAAGAACAGTTTAGTAACTAAGGTATAACACAAATCACTACTGCTACCACCAATAATAATAATGATAAAGGAAATAACAAGGGAAGAGAATACATCACCTCACCACTAGCCAACCAATAACTCGCCCCCCCAGCCCGACCAAGCTCTGACCGATACCTCCTCCAATCCCGCAGTCCCAGCCCTTCCGGCTAACTCCCAGTTACATCCTGGGCATGACGTGCTGTGGTATGGAATACCTCTTTGGCTAGCTTGGGTCAGGTGTCCTGTCTCTGCTTCCTCCCGGCTTCCCCTCCTCCCTGGCAGAGCATGAGGCTCACAAAGTCCTTGGCCAAAGCAAAACATCATTGTTATCAGCTCTGTTCCCGAGCTGAAAGTCAAAACACTGCACTGCACCAGCTACCAAGGAGAAGAAAAATGACTGCTACTGCTGAACCCAGGACATTATCCACCCCTTACTCCATACCATTCACGTCATGCTCAGATCCTACATTTTCAGTACACCATAGCTCTCCCACATATAGATATCCATATACACACAGACCAAGAGAAAAAGATCATTTTCTTAATGCATGGACCAATCCCTATAATGCTGCTGCGTCCATCTGGTCCATGATGTCAGGCTCCATCTCTTGTAACAGTCTTCCAGAGCAGGAGAGACTGTGTGCAGTGTTCACACTCGTGAATAACCTGGGCAATAGTGTCCATTGTTAAGTCCACCCCTCGATCATGAGTCCATCTCTAATGTTGCATCTCTGCTCTGATGGCCTGAAGTGCCATGGGCCCATCAGGCTTAAAATAATTCACTGTCCCCTTAAGCAGTTTCTGCAGCTTGTTGCTGGGGACTCCATACAGCTGCCTTCCATCTCTGACTCTTCCAAAGCACTGGAG